AGAAAGTGAACAATGGGATTTATTACAGGTGGCGTATTTGGATTCTATTTATATTCATGTTGGGAGTTTTAAACTGAAATGGGAATTAAAAAGAGAAGAACGTGTGGAAGTAGGAGCCCAGCGAGGTAAGGACCTCAAGCTCGCGCTGCTATTTTACAATTACAGCCCTCAATAACCAGCAAACGCTGGCGTTTTAAAGTCTGGCTGCTCAGATGGCCTGAATTCACACTTGTCAGTCATCCAACGCTTCGCCCACACACACACATACACATTCACGTACAACACCACCCTTTAACTCAATTATGGGGTGAATTGGACCCCTGTTCACGCCGCTTTTTCATAGGGCTCCATCCCTCCTGTTAGATATGCTCTCCATTTGTCTTGCAGACACCTGCAGATCAGCTTGAAAGGAATCGCTGCTTTGATCCTAGACGTGTAATATACTCAGGCGGACACGTGCGCCTTGTGATCCCAACGTACGCACGCCCGGCGTGTTCAAATATCTTTGCACAGCGAACCATCAAAGCCGCGAAAGACGGCAGAGGTTAAAGTAGCAGCAGACCCGTTTCAACTGCAGCTACTTCCAACTTAAACTAATAATAGTACAGATGAAACTGTGCAACGGGATGCCCGCGACAGATGGCGGGGGAGTTTTTAGGAGATTATTTAAAAAAGAAGTTACTGAAATCGGCGACTCACCTCGGTGCTCCTGGGAGGCAGGGCGCACGATTGGCCTCCAGCATCGCTTTCAAAGACCTGAAACCCAGAGACAGACAGTAAGAAGTACAGACAGAGGGGCACCACGCTGACTGACTCATGAGCCATTAGCACCTCGCCATCTCACCAACACACATATTAAACACACACGGTGCTTTTATGCAGTTAATTAAAAACTACGCATGGCGAGTGCAGCGCTTTGATACTGCTTCCAAACTGTGGCCTTTGAAGGTGCATTGGTGGAAATGTGCAGTGTGTGAGTGAGTGGAGGAAATGTGTGTGTGGACACTGAGTGGTTTCTGTAGCAGAGAGATCAAAGGGGGGAGTCTGAAAGCAGAGGGGAGGGCCAGCTCCCACCTATGCGTCTCCACATCCACAAAGTTCTCCGGCTCCTCGAGTCCGTCCTGCCTGTCTGTGATTGGGAGGCGTGTTGCTAACCCCGCGGCCTCAGAACGTTTCAACAACTCTATAATACGGCCGTGACAGAGCTATCCGTCATGAGGGCGTGCCTCGAGTCCTCGTTTAAGTGGACTGCAGTTATCCGGCTGCGCTCTGACAGTCTGTCAGCAGAGACATGACAAGCAGCACAGCAGCAAATTCAATTCACTATTTTGCTCCCCAAAAAGCTCCGACATGAAGTCAAAGGTTTGTTTTAAAGAGCTCAAGCGGACTTAGAGGGTCTACAGGACCAAGACTATGTCTTTACAATCACAAAGAAACTTCCAGCTCTTGTTCTGCTAATAAGACTGCGTCTCTCCGCAGCACGAGGACGTTTATAAAATAGCTGTAAATGTTGCTGCTTCGCTAAAAAAAGCCAGCTTATTTTAGAAAGCTTTAACAACTCTTCCGCAAATCCTCGGACCTTTCTGGCCTACTTCCCACAAACGACTGGCGGCCAGCTCCTTACTATATCCGGAGCTCCGCTAAGGCGGATGAGAGAAGAGAAAAGGGGAGAGCAGGGGGGATGACTTTGGGGGAAGGTTGTGGAGTGCGCCATCAAAGTGGTAAATGGGATTTAGG